TCGGATTTGGACTTTTGCACGAATGGGTCCGAGGATGCTTTTCTGCTACGACCAAAGTGGCCAAGTCTGGCCTGAGCGTGCGAGGCAGCAAAGCCCGGTCCCAAGAAGCAGGCCTCTGTTATGTTGACCTCGGAAATTAAGCTCAACGACAGGACATCGCGAACCAGATCTTCTATTCTGACGCCTTCCAAAAAGCTGGGGGCAGCTCCTCTGCCCGATTCCTTTCTGTTTCTTGTGCTGAATGGTTTGGAGGCTGGGCAGTTCTGGCCTGGCATGTTGGTGTGAGTCTGTTGCCGCTTATTGTTGTTTCCTGTCTGTTCTGATTGACTGTGTGTTGGCGCTAACGCAGGCCTTCCGACCAACTGGACCTCGGCAAGGGCAGGTGACGTTCCGGCTGGTACTCTTGAGCGTTATGGTTATGGCTTGCAGGCCGATGCATCGTCTCGCAAATACGGTTGATTACAGCTGGACCTGTCTGTCTTAGCGTTGTAGGCATCAAGTGCGCCTGTGAGCTGCATCTCGCTCTTTACTGGCATCGCTGGCATGGAGCTGGGTGTTCATCCGCAGGGTCCTCGGTTCTTTGTAATTTCAAGCTTGGTGTGTGACCAGGAAGACTCGAATGTTTTCTTCACTTCTAACACAGACCTGTTGTTATTTTCCTGGTGCTTGTCATTGTCCGGAGCTATCGTCATTATTCTTAGTCTGTAAATATAGTAGTCTAATAGTTAGTGCCACAGGAACTAGCAAGAACACTCATATGCATAATATAATACTTGCTCCTCCTAGAATCATCCCAGACTGAGCCATTTACTGGTTCGGTTCATGTGCAAGGCTTCTTTCAGCTTTCTGGTTTAGGATGTTTGCGTTTAGGTTTAGGGTGAAGGGTTGACGAGGTCTGGGGTTTAATATTAGGCTTATTGCTAAGCACGGCTTGATTTCGGGGGCACCGCCCGGACCCTCATGCACGTATTAATGTTTCAGCAGAAACGGAAACTTAGTATTCGGTTTAAGGCTATTATGTTAGTCGGGTCAAAACCATCTTCGCAGTTCCATCGCATCGACATGGCAAGAATGCTGAAGTTCCTCAGGTGGTTCCGTGCAGTGGAGATGGCAGGCAGCCCAGGAAATTTCTGAAGTTGTCAGATTAAAAGGCCACTGTGCTCCCGATTCTCGTATCCCGCATAAGGTTGAAAACAACGAGCACTGCCAGGCAATGCTCAAAGCACGCATGCAGGAAGGCAACCTCCCCCATTGTGACATAAAGAACGATGTCATTGGCTACGAACCAGAGGGCGAGGCCAAGATGGCGCAAGCGGTTCTAGCCGGCTTCCCTTGTCAGGTCCCTGTGCTGCAAGCAGTCAGTCATATCACTCAATGTCTCTGTCCTCGTATCGTAGTCGGCATCGTCTTAACTGCTGTGGCAGGGAGTTTCCCAAGCCGGTTTCCAGAGCGGCATGCAAGACGATCGCAGCATGCTCATCAAGAGCGTGTTCGAATGCTTCGACAAACTCCCGAAAGGGTGGCTGTTGCCGCAATTACTTGAAATTCTACTGTGGCTGTGGCTTTAAGTCTGAGTGTCACTGTACACTGTTCTTTTCATTTCTGGCGGCCCGAAGGAAGTACATGCTGATCGAAAACGTGGGAGCATTGCTTCATCAAACACCCAGCTGCCGGACAATGTTGAACTTCATTCAGAAGGCAGAACGGCGTGCCGGTCTGTCTTGACTTCGTCAATGTGTCTACTGTTATGTTCATTGTTTGGTGACAGGCTTGCGCTGACAGAGGCCTGAAACTGCTNNCTGCTTGAAGCTGGCGCATGTTGGCCTGGCAGCAAGAGGCTCAATCGCTCAATGTTGTCGTGGACTTCTTTTCGTGCCAGTGTGTGTTTCATACATGACAAGTTCAAGGCTGGGCGTCGCCGTGTCTTCCTGCTGGCGACGCGAGACTCTGTCCGAGGCCAGCAGGGATGAATAGGGGAATGTATCACTCGATGTTATCCGTAAAGACCCAGATGCGAATGCTGCTGAACAGGTCGCAAGGGAGGGCGGTGTGCTGATATCTTTCGTGAGAAGCGATGCGCTGGACGACGAGGCTGGTGCGTCCGTATTCTTGTGTTTTGCATCCTGCATGTCTACTCTCGCTAATTGTGTTCGCATGGATTGCGAAAGGTCTGCCGTGTCCCGGTGCACATCGCGTATCAGGGATATGGAGGTCAAGAGCTAGTGATTTACTTTGACTTTTACAAGACGTTCTGGGATAACCTTTTGCCACAACAGTCAGGACCCCAGATCGAAGTTGATGTATT